ATATAGGAATTGCCTTTGGCATTGGTCCTATGGGGCCAGAAGTGGGAGAGGCGGTCCCAAAGATTGATCCCAATCATCAATGGGCACATGGTGGAGGGAGGGGTGCATAAAGTTGTTGCCTCCCCAATCGGTGTGGAGACTCTACACTGGAGGATAGAGATAATTAAGCCCAGTCCTGCTCAGATTCTGTGAGCTGTATCAGATGCAGTAAGGGTGGGGATATTCCACCCAGTGATCGACAGTGGACCGGTGAGTCAAGCAGCATTAGATGGGGGCACAGGGGACGATTTCAGTATGCAGTGAGTCATCAATGGAACCTTAAGCGGGGATCGTCTGAGTCTTGTACTTCTTCTGATTGACAGATTTAAAGTCCTTACCCTCTCTGCATTTCTTAGCAGGGGTGTGGGTCTCTGACTTAGATGTTGGGACTGAGCATTTGAGAACTGGTTGATTGACATTGGTAGGAGCTGGTGTTGGAGACATCGCAGCAGTCAACACCGAAGCTGGGGTCGACATGGAGGAATGGCCTGCCATTTTCTGGGATGATACCATCAGGGGAGAGAGTGCTGATTCCAGCAAAGCGATATGAAGCCTCACAGCTGTTTTTTCTCATTTGTTTTGAGAACTTTGAGCAACGCGAACAAGAGTCCACGTGGTGGGGTTCCCCGAGGCACAGAAGGCAGAGGGAGTGTCCGTCAGGTGGTGCGATCTACTGCCACACTTCAAACATTGCTTAAAGAAGTCCCACCTTTTGACCATAGGCTGGGGGGGGGGCTACGGAGAAGGGTGGCCCATGGAGGGTTGCGCTCTAGGTAAAGTCACTAACTTGCAAACTTATTTCTGTAAGTTGAAGTCCAAGAAGTCCGAGGAAAAGGAAAAGCCAAACAGGCCCAAAAGCAAGAAAGCTACCGACCAGAGCAGAGGAAGTCCTAACAGCACAGCAGTCAGAAGAAAACTTGTGGGATCGTCATGCCCCTCCCTGTAGTCATGCACAGTGGAGCCCCTGCACATAACTCGGGAACGGGTGCGAAAATTCCTTTTTAGCTTTTAAATCTACCAATTGGGATTGGCACAGGCCAGGCCCGTAGCTAACGTGGAGCCCACAGGGCCCGGCCTCCTCGTGTTTCTTCTTGGCCACCTCCCTCCCGGGCTGTCCCCAAAGTGCCTCAACTCAACACCTGTGCGCTGTGCTGCCTACAACCTGGCTGTCCGACAACTGAGCTCCTTGGGCACTCCAGAGAAGTGGAATCCTTCGTCCACAGAGCTACCTTCTGACACTCCCCTCCCCTTTAAACTCAGCCAAATTGCTGTCAGCTCCTGCCGGCTTCTCTTCCTCACCATCCACCCTCTCTTAACCACAGGACCGGTCTCTGTACTCCAGCCCGTGTGCGCCTGCTTTAAAAACCACCTGCCTCCCCCCCGCTGCCCGAGTCCCCCCAACAAGCCCCATGGGAGTTTTTCTAAGGGAGCCATGGAGAGCGCATGCCAGAGGCTCCAAGGGACAGCCCTTTACCTGCACTCTGAGCCGCCCCCATGGTGCGCACTCTCTCGTGACTTCTGTGACCTTTGTGACTGGAGGTGAGTGGAGGAGGACGCCTGCTACCGCCACTGCTGCCACCTCCCTCAACCACCCGCCTCGTCCTCCCGCCCAGCGAAATGGCCAAGAGAACTCGTGGCCTGCTGCTGCCGCCGGAGGGTTACCTGGAACGTTTTATTAAATTAGCTGCCGGTCCCCTCCCAAAAAAGTCCCTAGCTACGGGGCTGGCACAGGCACACTATATCCCAGAGGTGATGCACAGAGACCACGAAGAAGATCACTGGGATTATTTGCTTTATCTCCTTTTGTTATCTTCTAATTTTGAGAGTTTACAAATTGCCAATAAGCTCAACTATTGTGAAAGAGAGAACGAGCAAGACAAGGGAAGTCCAAAGTGATTCTGGGGACACTGAATTGCTTGGGGCTCCCAGACATGTGTATGTGGCATTTAAAAAGATGCTCTTTATGCATGTAGGTCATCCATCCTTTTGCATTTGCCACACGTATTTCCCTAAGTAGCAAAGACACTTGAGAAATGATCCCTTAAAGTATTTTAGTCCTGTCTAAGGGTGTGCATTCAGATCTTCCCAAGCTGAAAATATACTTTTGAAATACCTTATTGGTTTAAAGGCTCATTTAAAGGGATGGTAGTAGAAATCAGGGGGAAACAGCTGAGAGGCAGGAACAATGTGCTGCAGCTGCTCAGCTGTATTTAGCAACTTCACCACTCCTGGGTTGTTGGGTTTTTTTCCCTTTTTTCCCCATCTCAGGTCTATATTACAGATTCTACCAACAAAGCCTGTTGGTGGAAAACATAGGGAATTTTGGGGAATTTTAACTGAGGAATAAAATATATTTTTACCTGATTTTGCACCATTGGCCTTGGCCTTATTTTTTATCTCCTGCAAAAAAAGACCAAACATCTCTGTAAGGGGCAAGGAAGGGAGGAAAGTAGAATTGTCACTTGTTTAGTGATAAAGCAGGTTCCCATACACTGGAATTCTGCCGCAGTGAACTGCTCAGGCTCCAGAGAATAGTATTTATCTCTCTGCATCCCACCCTTTTTTCCATAAAGCTCAGAGTGGCATTTTACCCTCTCAGCAGCCTAGAGATGTAGTTTAGGCTGAGAGATAGTGACTCACACAGAATCATGAGCTAAGTGGGAATTTGAATCCAGGTTTACCATGTTTAGCTAGTTCAATTCAATGGCTAAGGTAATTATTTCTTTTTTTCCCAAAAAAATTTATTATCAGGATATCACATCATTCCAACATTATAACATACTTAATACTTTTATATCCTTTTCCCTGCTCCCTCCCCCGCTTTACTATTGGCTTCCCTCAGTGCTCCCACCTCCCTTCCTTATTCTAGATTTTCTAAATTTATTTTTCTTATCACATTTCTAAGCTTAATTTTACTCGGTAACATTCACACAAACTGTTATTTCTATGTATCAACTATTTCGGAATTTTTACATTCTTAATAATTGTCAAAACTATTTAAAGTGTTCCTCACATCCCAATACTTTTCCAAATATTCCTTAAAGTCCTTCCAATCTTCAAAAAATTCTTCTGCTTCTTGATAATTACGTTTTCTGGTCAATTTATCCATTTCAACCATAAAAAGTAACTTTTTTATCCATTTCCAAATCTCAGGAGTCTTTTCTTGCTTCCAACATTGAGCATATGTCATTCTAGCTGTTGTGATCAGGTACCACATCAAAGTCCTCTTTTTTATATTCACCTCTTCCATCTTTAGTCCCAAAAGTAAAATTTCTGGTTCTTTTTTGAAATTACATTTCAAAATCTTCTCCATTTCTCTATGAATCTCTGTCCAAAAGTTTTCTGCTTTTTCACATGTCCACCAAATATGGTAAAACGACCCTTCTTTTTTCTTACATTTCCAACATTTACTAGACAAGTTACTACCAATATATGCAATCTTTTTTGGTGCTAAGGTACTTATTTCTTATCTAGTACTGCTCTTACAGCTATCGCCTTGAGCTGAAAATAAAATGATAAAAGCCTTACTTAATATTATCTCCCTGATATTTAATTATTGCAGCAGAGAGAGTAACGGAACCCTTTGTATCCGATAGTAGCCACATCACCTGAGCTCTCATATTATGCAGTTTCATATTTTTAAGTAGAGGGGTAATTAAAGTAGCCCTCAGCTCATTAAATATGGGACACTATGATCATGTGTTCAATGGTTGCAACTTTATCATGTGAACATCTGCATATTCTATTGGTGTGTTCTTGGGAGGAAAGCTATGGCAAAACTAGACAGCATAATAAAAAGTAGAGACATCACCCTGCCAACAAAAGACATCACCCTGCCAACAAAAGTCCATATGGTCAAAGCAATGGTTTTCCCAGTAGTAATGTATGGCTGCGAGAGTTGGACCATAAGGAAGGCTGAGCACCAAAGAATAGATGCTTTCGAATTATGGTGGTGGAGAAGACTCCTGAGAGTCCCTTGGACTACAAGGAGATAAATTCAGTCAATCCTAAAAGAAATCAACCTTGACTGTTCCCTGGAAGGCCAAATACTGAAGCTGAAGCTCAAATACTTTAGCCACCAAATGAGAAGGGAGCACTCACTGGGAAAGAATGAAGGTCAAAGAAGAAGGCAGTGGCAAAGGATGAGATGATTAGATAGTGTTATTGATGCAATGAACATGAAATTAAGCAAACTCTGGAGGACAATGGAAGACAGGAGGGCGTGGCGTGATGTGGTCCATGGGGTCGCAAAGAGTCAGACTCAACTGTGCGACTGAACAACAACAACAAATCTTTTTGTATCTGCCCTCCAAAACCTCCGAAGGAAGGGCATTCATTATTGTCAAAGTGAAGACTCTTCTGAGCTTTGGTACTGTCAAGCAATAAAAATACTTCAGCAGTTGCATCGGGAGGGCAATGCCCAAATAAAGTGGCAGACATACCCTACACACCCTAACAGATGTACTAGTAATATCCAGCTTCCTAACGCACACTTTTATTTGCCTGATTATATCTTTGGTCTTTGTAAGTCTGACCAAGTCGTTTCTTATTCCTAAGCATTTCATTTTCTTTTCCAACGAAATGCTTTTATCCATGCCTTGGCTTTAAGGTAATTATATAGAAAACGATACAGATACACATACAGGGAAAGAGAGGCAGCATGATGCTTATCACTGAACATGTCAAATAATGTCTAGCAGTGTTTGAAGGATTATATTAGTTCAGACACAAAATGTTGATGACTGAGTGCTTGGAAGTTAGTAATATCCACAACAGCAGAAGAGGCATGAAAGCAGGGCAGTTTGATTGTACACACCAGATTCTGCTAAGGATCCCTGGAAAAGGAACATACAGAACAAGGAAAAACTTCCAAGATGCTAAACACCTGTTAGACGTTTTGACTGGTAAACAAACAATTATTCTTAGTCTCCATCATTTTTCTTCTGTTTTTATCACTTTAGGTATACCAGTATATGCATGAAACCATAAACGTTAATGGCTGTCCAGAATTTCGTGCCAGGGCTACTGCAAAGGTAGGATATGTGCATCTTTAAAAATACACACTACTGAAGTGGCCTAGTAATTGACTGTGCGCGTGTATGTTTCAGGTATTCGTGTGTACACTGTAAGAAAATTTAGACATCAGTGGCAGCCCAGAGTCTAGAACCAGTGCTACTTCCAGGTAACAATCATAATGGCAAATTCAACCTTTGTGCTGCTTCTGTAGCTTAAGAAAAGAGAATGCTTTATAGAGTTCAGAAGTTTGGGGGGTCAGCTTCCAAATCGAATCTACCAGTTCATTGCGTACAGTCAGGTGAGTCCAACCAGCTTTTCCGCTGATGAAGAAGATAGGAAGAGTCCCCTTTGGCTACCCTAAGAGGCTATGCTTGGGAACATGGGACCTCCATGCATGAAAGCCATGTGAGACAGGTGCTGTAGTAAGGAGAGAAATTGGGTAAGATTAAGTGAAAAAAGATTGGTTGGATCCACCCCACTGACTACTGGTTCTTCTGCAACTAAATTCTCCTATAGTGTTTCTTTTTTTCTCACTGAATGTGGCCTATCCTAGAATTAGCTCAGAAGAGACTTCAAGAATTATATTTTCAGATGTGCTGAGTACACATATCTTTAACAGGATGGCAGTAGCCATGGGCACCCATCATGTTGGAAAAATCAGTTAGTGAAGTTTCATGAAATCCATGTAGGTTGTCTGTATCAAGAACAAATATGCCTTTTGTACTGAGTTCTGAAATGTGCTTTTGCATTTTCCCTGTATAGAAACAACACCATGGTGATGTCATCATGGAATAATTCCTTTTTAAAAGCCCTTAACAAATTGTAATGCATTTCCTCTGCTTTGATAGGGAAGGGGTAAGTACAGAAAAGGAAAACTAGGAAAATTGTTTGGACTTCTGACAAGCATGTACACACCACCACAAAAGGTTGTTCCTAGCAAATCAGAATAAATACTGATCTCCCTTTTGGATTAGGGTCAGTGAAAGAATCCCATTGGTTTTGAACAGAGATAAGCCAAGATTTAATGCAGAGGACACATTATAGCACTGAAGCAGCTAGAAACTCTCAGCCACACAGCACTTTAAAAATAGTTACACCTCTATTCTACAAATGTATTCAAGTAAAAAGGTGCCCCACCTTGTTATCTACTAGAATATTGCCATTATTCTTATGGGGCTTGTGCTTGACCTGAACACTGCAAATATTGAAGGCTTATCATCTCTGACCTTAGACAAGGGTTTTCTTGATTGTTTCCACTATGGATGAATGCAGAAATTACCACCCTTGTAGTACAGTTAAAATGGGAGGAGCCTCAAGAAGATTTGCCATTCTCATTTCTTATTCATATAGAACAGCAGGATTGTAGAGCAATGTTTTAATATCACAATACTTCCTGGTTTTTTCTGGGCTGTCTGCATTGCATCTTTCTTGTGCATTTATGTTTAACATTTAATGTCTGCATGATAGCGAAAGTTTGCATGATGACAAGTTTTGCATATATAGTTAAAATTATATTCATCTATTAAGCATAAATCCCTATCAGAATGTTGAACTTGCCAAGTGATCTGAGCTGTAGGATCTCAGGCCAGATCTGGCAGACCCGAACACTTTCTGGCCCCATTGATTTCAGTTGGGAAGCTAAGTATGTGCTTGAGTCTCTCCCACTGAAATCAATGGGACTTTGACTATACCAGCCCTTTATTTATAGTCAGCAATACACAAAAATATATTACACACTAATAAGCAGTTGCTGTTTTTTCTCCAGCTCTGAGCTGGATGGCCCAGGCTAACCATCAGATCTCAGAAGTTAAGCAGGGCTGGCCCTTGTTAGTACTTGGATGGGAGAACTCCAAGGAAGTTCAGGATTGCTAAGCAGAGCCAGGAAATGGCAAATCGCCTCTGACTCATGAGAAGTCGCCATAAGTCGGCTGTGACTTGATGGCCCTTTACAGACATGCGGGGTTTTTTCTCCATTATTTCCATAATCCGGCCCTCTGGTTTGCTTTAAAAAATTAAGATATGCCTCCAGTTTATTAAACAAATAATGCAGCTCACATTTATTGCCTTACTTCACCTGTCGTTATGGTGAAAGCTTTTCTAAAACTCAGTCACCCAAAGTTATTAAAGTTCCATGTTCAAACAATTTCGTAAACCCGTGGGGCAGTGCTTAACAGTTACACAGATGCAGCTCTGCTTAATTGCACAGTTACTCACTGTGACCCAGTCCAGTTTTTCCAGTGCACACACAGGAAATTTGGTGCATATATTCCTCATCAGTGATGCATGTCTTTGCTGGCACAGAGCTCCATGTGTGCATTAGAACCTGCAGAGTCTGGAAAATGAATCAAACATTATTAAAAAATTAAAATGCTTTCCATGAAAATTAACTAGAAAATAAAGAACATTTTTTTCTCTCTTTCACAGCAGTCATTGAGCATTTACATTCATAAATATGCAGGTGTTGCAAGGAAGTCACAGTCTAGAGAACACAGGAGAATTTTTCACTCCACTCTGGAAATTTCTCTTAGGTATGAATCTCAAATGCATACATGGAGTTCCATTGCCTATGAAGGCTGCTCCAGTTGCAAGGACCCAATCTGTGCTTCTATTCCTTTTCTATGCAGGGAACACATTAATGTGAAAGGGACATCCACATGTGCCTGAATTCTTTGCACATCGGGATTTAGGCACCCTAATTACACAGCTAGCACATAACTGGGCATGAAGGCGTGGAGCACACATTTTCTAACTTGTATATAGGTACGCTTTTTAATCAAAGACATGATGCAGTATTTGTAAAAAACCCATAAGAAACACAAAATATGGCTCTGTGTGAACCAACTCAGCAAAATCAGCACATGTGATTCTAATTCTGCAGTCTGTATTGCTAAATATTTCATTTCCTTCTAGGCAACAGTTGCTGCCTTTGCAGCAAGTGAAGGCCATTCACACCCTCGAGTGGTAGAACTGCCAAAGACTGATGAAGGCCTTGGTTTTAATGTGATGGGGGGGAAAGAACAAAATTCTCCTATTTATATTTCTCGCATAATTCCCGGAGGAGTAGCAGAAAGGCACGGAGGACTCAAACGTGGAGACCAGCTGCTTTCTGTTAATGGAGTGGTACGTGTACATACTTCACTGATTTCTGGATTTGTGAGTCTTGCTTGTTCAGATCTCTTTTGACTAGGGGAACTTCTGAAGTACCTGGAATGTCTTTCAAAGTAAAGCAGTTCAGGAGACAATGCTTAGGATCATAGCTACATTTTAAAGGGATGTTCTGCACCTCTGCAGCCCGAACCATGTCTTTGTTGGAAGCAAATCCTCTTGAAGACAGTGGCAGTTACAGCCAAATAATGCTTTTACAATTACTGTGTAAGGTTGATTTTGTGTATTATGTTCTTTCGTGATACAAGAATCTTGGATCTTCATGTTGGCGCCCTGCCTTTCTAGTGGGAGGGCATCATGTTAGCTCAGAAGTCTGTGGCACTCCCTGATCATTTCTGTATTACTGGAATGGTGTCTCCTGCCCCAGTTCTATTGAGTTAAGTACCTAAAGGTTAAGAAAACATAAACATACAGGAAAATAGCAATAGAATAGAATAGAAAAGTGCAATAAAAAGAGCAAAAATCCAGTAGCTCCATAAAGACTAACAAAATATTTGGCAGTGTATGAGCTTTCATGAGTGACTGCTCACTTTTTCAAATAATACTGTCTGTGAGCTTAAAAATTAACAAATATTAACATATATATGAAAATAAGTGTATTTTTTACACAATTGATTAAAAACAGATATTGGCCCTTACAATAGCCTCAATTACAATTGACAATCTGTACTGACATCTATGACATCCAAAACTGACAAATATTGACCCTGACCAAACAAAGTTTGGCCTAAATTGGTCTTTCTCAGTTGTTGTTGTTCAGTCGCACAGTCGAGTCCGACTATTTGCGACCCCATGTTTTCTCAGTAGTCAAATCAATAACATTACAACCTGGCTCCAGACATAATAATATACCATTCATTCATCATAAACTGACCAAGATAAAAGTTTGAGTCTAGTGGTACCTTTAAGATCAAAAAAGTTTTATTCTGAGTATAAGCTTATACCTAGGATAAAACTTCGTTGGTCTTAAAGGTGTCACTGGACTCAAATTTTGTTCTTCTGCTTCAGACCAACATGGCTACCCTCCTGAATCTATGACCAAAACATTCTGATAATTACTGCCTATTCCCAAGGGAAAGAATATGAATAATTAATCTCGTACTTAAGAATGGCACAGCCATGGTAAGTACACTTGTTCCTATAACAATGATTCAATCGTGTACCTTTCTCACTTGGTCAGAAAACTTTTGTAAAGCCAGGAGCCAACATCACTATTCTCTACCTTGGCCAAAATACATTTGGTCATGGTCAATAATTGTCACTTTTGGACGTCATTATACTTTGTCCATGATAATTGAGGCTTCTGTAAGGGCCAATATCTGCTTTTCATCAATTCACAGACAGTATTATTTGGCCTGTATGTTTGTTTTCTTAACCTTTAGGGGCGTTGGGTTAAGTTCCTCCCCTCTTCTTTGGTTGTATTTGCATTAATTTCTATTGCTTTCCCTCTGTTTCTTAGCATATGAAGAGGTGCAGCCAGAGGGGGAGACGGATCAAAAAAGCCTCCTAACCCTAAACCTGCTTGTCGTTTTAAACTTAAATTCTTGTTTTTGTATTCAGAGTGTTGAAGGAGAACACCATGAAAAGGCTGTGGAGCTTCTGAAAGCTGCAAAGGACAGCGTCAAGTTGGTGGTGCGCTACACCCCCAAAGTGTTAGAAGAAATGGAGGCTCGTTTTGAAAAACTGAGGACAGCACGACGCAGACAACAACAACAGTTGCTAATTCAGCAGCAACAGCAGCAAAATGCACAACAAAACCATATGTCGTAGGTGAGAGTGTTCATTGGTCTTGCTTTGAGCCTGCCCTTGAAAAGGACATGGGCACATCATAAGCATTTGGAATGCTCAGGGCTGCTTCATGTGTTCTTACCAGTAGTGTGGTTGCTGCCATTCCATGGGAGTTTCCCAGGTAACACCCTCACTTTATACCCACCTAGTTGAGGGGAGGGTCCCTTTGTTATGGATCAAGTTAGTAAAGTACCTCCTGGTACAGTGGACACACAATCCAGTATAGACAAGACATAAAAGAAATAAGGGAGAACAACGAAAGAAAACCATCACATTCAGAGTTAATATGTTTCATTTTTAAATGTATTTGTATATTTATACATCGCTTTTCTCCCCAATAGGGCCCCAGTGTAACTTAACAACATCCATACACAACCCTGTAAAGAGGTTAGGCTGAGAGAGAATGACTGGCCCAAGGTCACTGGCAAGCTTCCATGGCAGACTGGGAATTTGAATCTGGTTTTCACAGATCCTAGCTTGACATTATAACCAGTACACCATACTGGCTCACTAAAAGGGATCATGTGGAATGGCAACAGGTTTAACATTAATTTCAACAGAGAGAATTAAGTAGTACAAGTGGGGACCCATGATACTCATGGGAGGGAATCCCAATACTCAGGGCTTTTTTTTTTTTTTTTTTTAAATGGAACTCTCAAGTGGGAAATGAAGTTTTCAATCTGTATACTGAAAACCAAAGAGGTTCTGTAACTGTCAAAGAGGTTCTGTAACTCTGCTCCAGTGTGTTCCTTCAGAAAAAAAGCCCTGCCAATACTCACATCGGGGAATCCCTCTCCCTTTGGCTGGTGATTCCCCTTATGGCTCACTGGGGGGGAGGCTTGCAGGGGGGATCCAAGTGTGGTTCCTGAGCCCAGCATCCTTATCCACCAGGCATCTTCTACTACCACGAGCTGGGGGGATTTAAACCCCCTGTGAATTTTTTTTCAGATTTTTCTGGGGAGTGCCCGAAGTTTGTTGAAAAATCCCTTTAGCCTCCATGTGGCCCCAGTCCATGCATTTAGCTGTCTGCAGATAGAGCCCACATGTGGCTAATAGTATATTGACAAGTGGGGATGCACAAGGAACTTGGGGGCAGCCACCCTGTTCGCCTCACCATTGCCTTCCCCTCCACTGTCATTCCTTCTCTCTGTTTCTGTCTCTTTCTTTCCATTTCAGCCATGGCTACTGTTATTCTCCCCCCCCCCCTTTGCTACTGTCATGCCATCTCTCTGTTTCGGTCTCTTTTCTTCCATTTCAGCCATGGCAACTGTCATTCCTCCCCACACCCCATTCTTCTACTGCCATTCCTTTTCTTTGTTTCTGTCTCCTTTTTTTTCCATTTCAGCCATGGCCTCTTTCATTCCTCCACCCCCCACCCCCAGTTCTGTCATTCCTTCTCTCTCTGTTTCTCTCTCTCTCTTTTTCCATTTCAGCTATGGCTACTGTCACACACACAAACACACCTCTCTACTGTCATTCCTTCTCTGTTTCTGTCTCTCTCTTTTTCCATTTCAGCCATGGCTTCTGTCATCCTCCCCCCAACACACACACACTGTTATTCCTTCTCTCCCCCTTGTCTCTTTTTTTCCATTTTACTTCACTCATGCTGTCAGTCCTTCCCCCCACACAAACACACTGTCCTTCCTTTTCTCCTGCTCCCCCCCCCCATCTGCCTGCCTCCACTGCATTCCAGAATTAATGAGGGGGGTGGCTCCTCACCTGCTTCCCCAGTCCCGTCCCCATCAGTACTTATAGTTCTCTGGAGGGCTGCTGTCTTCCTGGGCTTTCCTGCTGCCTTGCAGCCAGTTCAGCTCTTGCTGTAGATGGTGGGTGCTCCCCCCCATCCAACCTGTCCTATCCCACTGCTGCCACCTTCCTTGGGACTCCCCCAGCCCCTGCTTGTATTCAGAGCAGCCGGTGGGCACTCCTCTGTCCTGCTGCTGCCACCTCTCTGCTTCCCTGAGCCTCTCCCAGCCCCCACATCTCTGTCCCTGGAGGCTGCTGCAACGGGCTTCCTCATCTTACCCAGCTGCCTTTTTTCAGCCTGAGCTTCCTCCTACCACCGCCTCTAGTCCCAGCCACCTCTCAGCTGAGCCACAGCTGCCTTTTGAGAGCCCTGGTGGCGAGAGTAGGTCCCGCTCCTCTGCCAGCACTTGAGGTTCCTTCCTGTCCAGCCGTCTTTTCCCTCCTGCTGTCATTAGGAGAAACAATCATTCTCCCCCCCCAACAGCAGCGCTGCAGTTTTTAGTTTTTTTAATACCCCCCCTGCCTTTTGTTCTTATTTTCAGATTTTTCTGTAACCCTGGGGAGTCCCCATAGTTTGCAGGAAAGTCTTACTTCAGTGCAAGTGGGCCCAGTTCACAGAGGTAGCTGTTCACAGATTTGGCTATTAGTATAGAGATGTCAGCAGTCATAAGAGGGAACAATTTGCTGCCAGACTTATAGCTGCACTTAGATGTCACGATAAGCCATAGTCTATAAACTATGGGTGATGAAAGACTCGTTTAGAGCGATTTCTGAATGTGGATTGCCTACCAAAGTGAGGTTTGTTGACAAGTAATGAACAGGGATTCTAAACCATGGTTTGTTAACTATGGCTAAATTCAGACATCACAGCAAACTATGGTCTACTGTCTACGTCTGGAGGACTAAGCAATGTTTGTCGAACAAAACATAGTATAAATACACCTAACAGTTTATTGTGATGTCTGAGTGCTGCTAAGTACAGCAGGCATAACAGTTTATGAAGGGCCATGGCTTACTGGGAGAGCATCTGCTTTGCATTCAGAAGGACCTAGGTTCAACCCCTGCCATCTCCATTTAAAAGGACCAAGGAATAGGTGATGTGAAAGACCTTGACCTAGAACCTTAGAGAGCCACTGCCAGTCAAAGTGTACAACACTGGCCTTGATAGACAAATGGGTAGTATAAGGCAGCTTTGTGTATCATTACTTGATAGTCCACTCAGCTTCAGGTAAATATGCACAGCTGCCATTTCTGTCCTCAGGTTTTTTTTTACATATATATGAACCTGTTGCATAGCTTCAATTTCCACTTTGCTGCATTCATCAGAAAATCAGAACTGTACATGGATATTGTTGTTGTTTGCAAAGACCAGCAGGCTGGTTCATTCTTGGAAAGATTTGCTTTCAGCATGGCAATACTTTCCTTTCCAAACAGTCTTCCCCTTCAGTTTAATGAGGTATCAGAAACTAAGCCAAGCCTTATTGATTGCACTGCTCATTTGCATGGCTCTGTCTGTGGTTCATATCCTCCTTCCAGTTTTGCAGGTGCAAATCTAATTATTGGGGCTTTAGAGTCTAAATCACAGTTTGGCATGATAGACAGTCCTTGCTAATTCTTGTTTGATGTCTGACAAGCTCATAATTATTTTGTGCAATATGTTTAAATTGCACGTATCATCCCCAAATGAAGTTTTTGGACTCTGCATTTTATTTGATATTCAGGAATATTGGTGACTTGGTCACCAGAAAGAGTTAACTTGATTTCCCTGTGTATCAAACAATAGGTTGTCACCATGGCAGGCAAGCCAGCATTATCCCTTGGTGTATAAAGGCAGACCCATACAGCTTTATTACAATTGCCAGGAGCAAAACAAAAGCACAGATAATTGGCTCCAGGGTCCTTCATTAATGGCTCTTGGACCATGAATGACCTTATTTTAGTAACTCCTCCCATTACACATAGTATTATCACCCAAGCCCCAGTATGGCACATCATATAAGGTCAGGACTGCTGGGGAAAGGAAGAGGGGGGAGAATGCAATCCTATGGACACTTAGAAATAAGTCCCTTTTAACTCTGTGGGACTTCCCTTCTAAATAAACTTGCATAGGAAATCATGGTACCAATTCCTCAACATTCCTTGCTATGCCTGAAACTTTGTTTTGTTTCACTATAGATTGTTCTCCAGAAAGAAATTCTAAAGATCAAGAATTCAGCAGCTTCACAGCAAAGCTGTGCTTCATACTACAACACAGAGTGAAGAAGCAGCAGCACCAGCAATGTGACAACTGCATTCACCAGCAAACTGTGAATTACTGCCATAAGAATTGTTTGACAAGCCAACACCACAATAAACTATCTCGGAAGCTTTTCAGTATACTGAAGTCTTAGGATGAAAAGGGGTTGTTTGATACTGTTGTATGGTAAGATTTTTCAAAATTTAAGACGTTTTGGAAAAGAAAAAAAAAAGATGAATCAGAGTATTCATGACGAATGAATGAATGAATGATCCAGTCCTGCAATCCTGGTAATAGTACTTCAATGGGAGTTTGTCAAACAGATACAAGACAGATCAGTGTCAAGAAGAAGACTGTCCAGAGTTTATCAGCGCCAGTACAGCTCTAGATATGCTTCAGAAGGGGGGTGTATGTGATTAATTGCACCAGAATGTAGATAGAGATGTGCATTCAATTGTGCATCCTCCACTAAAACAACACAGTGTCAATCAACAGCGTCTCTGTAATTCCTGATCCAGGTATGTGGACGTCTCCTTTTGTGTGCAGATCTTCTGACACTAAATGGATTGAGGCCTCTGTGTGTGTGTGTGTGTGCGTGCGTACGCGTATGATAAACAACATAAAGCAAAATTGCATCATTAAATTTCACCACATGAAAGTCCCTCATACATCCTGCATAACATCTTCACACGTCATTGCTGTAGAGCTGTATATGAAATCCCATTTGTAATAATTCTCCCATTTTTTCCCTTTAAGTTGTTAATATATTTATAGAGCATTCCATTTGTAGAAGCATTTGGCTTTTTACTCTTGGTGTATCCCTATAGTCTATTTATCAAGTTGGATTCTATCTTTTGTTAGTAGTAAGATATGAGGACCCTAGAACTGTATTTTTAAATATAGATATTGCTAGTATATCTACTATAGCTATTATCCAGAAATCTATAACTGAGTATACAGTATATTTATAAGATATAAATATATATATATATAATATATATAAATATTGTCAGAATGTACTTGTTCCAGAAGTAGGATCTATGCTTACTATATTGCAAATGTTGTTGAGACAATGTTAATGACAGAAAACTTTGGGGAGGAGAGTAGATATAACCAAGTATCTCAGTATCTCTCTATTTTTCAAATATATTCTTTATTTCATAGAGTTTTTTTCTAGATTGAATGCACCGTCACTTAATCCAACTTTGTTCTCAAAGGAGAGGCAGGCCTCCCTAAGGAACCACATCTGATTGGCAGGGTAGTGTTAGTTTCTCTGAAGCTTTACAACTGATTTACATCATCAGAGAAGGTAGGGGGAAGTCACCCTTCTATCAACCCCCAACACAGCTTTAGCAGGAAGTCCCCCACTCTGCCCCAAGGAATATTTTATAGTTAATTTTAATTGTCATTTGTAGTCAATTTTTTTATTGCTACAAAACCCTTTAGAAGCCAAATTTGGGCTGGAAACTCAAATGAAAACATAACTAATTATGAGTCCTGCATTAGTAGAGTGGACCGCAGACACGTTTTTCAGTGTTTCTCAGTGACTCTCTGAAAACAGAAAACTAGCACAATAATTGCTTGTTGTAGTAGATCTTTTACTTGCAGGGCATTTTTTAATATGCGAGAGCATTAAAAATGACACCTGCTAGGTGTAGTTACAGTCCACTCAACTAGCAGAGGATTCTGCCACCTAATTCTTCTGCACTATAGACCGGTTCTCATTCTGTGGTCATGAACACTTAAGGAATGGCTATTACATTCTTCTGCTACTTATGAAATCAGATTGATGAAACTGAACTAGTGACAACTGTCCTTGGTCTCAGCACTGATACCCAGTGTTCTCCAAATAAAAATGCCATGGATTTAACATGAGACTTTTATACATACAAAACAAAGAATCTACCACCAAGAACCAGAAGTATAAAATGATGTATCAACAATGGCTGTCATCAGGAGAATCAGTAGCAGAATGTGTATGCTGCCATCTAAACCATTTTAATATGATTGGGTTGGATCCAACCAACTTTTCTACTGCTGAAAAAAGAAGGCAAGGTCCACTTTGACCAACCCCAAAAGACTATGCCAAGGATCATGAGACCTATCTGGACAAAAGCCATGTAAACTGGAGGCTGGAGTTAGGAAGAGAATTGGCCTAAATTGAGTGAAAAATCTGGCTGGATCCAATCTCTCAAAGGAATGATTTGTGCATGTATTGTTTTATAAATCATTTCTAAAAGCTGCATTCAGAGCCAAGTAATGTCCATACCCCTTCAGTTCATAACACATGATATTTTGGGTCATGGCTTTATGAAAAGTAGGGGGGGGGAACCCTACAATTACGTTTAATTGTATTATAGAATTGCTTCAAAATGTCTAAAACTAAGACAATGGATCTATACCCCTATGTTATCCAACTTTAAGTATGGAATTCTATGTTTTGCTATTAGGTTTTAGTTTACCGTACTTACCAACTGTGATGTGTCTTATGAAATATCTAACTTTTAAGTGATATTGTTTAAGGGTCTATGTAAGTATTGAGTGTATACACACTGTTGTTACTTTCCACACAGTCTGTATTATGTTATAACCATGCAACCTCAGTTATAGCAAAGTTTCCATGTATTAAGCATAATGTAATAACATCATCTGCATTTCAAATCACCAAAATACATCAGAAAATAAAAAAATAAATAAAGTGGACATTGCACAAAGTAGATTACATAAGTAAAATATGACTCATATTTAAATATGGAGTATTGGCAATATTATTTGGATTGTGTAATTTAATAAATTTTAAATGTATCATTTGTCTTGTATACCAGTTACTCTTAAAATTCATGCCCCACAATAAGTTTGGACAAACCCTTTATTTTAGGAACTTTGACCACCCTAGATGTAGTACAAATACCAAAACTTTCAATATTCTTTTTAAAACTACAATTGCATAAACATTCTGAAACTGAGCATTGTTAAGATCCAGGAAGTTACTTATTGGATCAGATGAGACTAACCAAGATGCTTCTAACACACTTACTTGGCATTTTCCAGGAAGTATAACCAGAGCTCAATCAAGTAGCTATTTTCCTTTGCTTCCACAACCACCCACCTTATTATGATGTTGACCATGATAATAATTAAATGATCAAGAGTTAACTAGGTTATTGTCTTGTAGTTCTCATGTTTAAGATATCACGTGTTTATTGCTTCCTTTTTAAAACCAAGTCTGTGCCCCAGGCAGCCCATGGAGATCGGAATGTGGATTGTCCCTGGCTGAGACCTACTAACTCCAAAATAGGGCATGCTGCAACTCTGTCCAGTAACCAAGGCATTAATGATATTGTTGCTCTGAATGATCTGAATGATCACCTCTGTAACCGGGTAGCCCTAACAGCCAGGGTTCAGTTTTGTACATTTCTGTATTTGTGATGCGTAAGATTTCTCTGATGCTGGTTATGCAAATAGCACAATACAAAATTAAGCCTCAAGTGCAGAGTTGCTGGACTAAAGCATGGCTTGACATACAGAGAGATTATGTTGAGCCTGCCAGATTTCTTCTAGCTCAGTTGGTGACTCAGGAATTAATCCAAAAAAAGGTTCCGTTTCAAAACAAATCCCTCCTGAGCAACTTCAAGCAAAAAGAGCTGTTTGATCTAGGGAAAAAACCTTTCCTGTCTTTTACGTTCTTTAATAAGCAAGCGTAGTGTCTCTAAATTCATGAGTCTTAACTTCTATTGCATCTGCACCAGCAATCCAGTAACCATAAATTAGTATTTAGGCTTACGCATAGTTATGTAAACCTTGCTGGATGAAACTGATAAGGGTACTTAAATGTCTTCCCTAAGTACTTTCATCTCTGAATAGTAGACTGCTGGAAGTACTCGATGTTTCCAGCTTTTACAAATGAGACAGTGTGGTGGAGTGGTCAGAGTGTTGGACTAGGATCTGAGAGACCCAGGTTTGAATCCCGAGCTTTCTGGGTGACCTTCAGCCAGAGACATATTCTTAATCTACTTCACAAGGTTGTTGTGATGATTAAATGAAAGACAGGATAATTATTGTCACGACTCAGGTGGGGTGTCACCTGACGCTGCCACTACTCTGGATTTACGATCCCTTGAGAAAGCCCAGAGTATCCTTCCAAGACCTTCAGACCTCCCTTTTGGCTGAATAATAGGCAGGAAGACCAGATTGATGAGGATTCCTTTAAGCGGTGGAAAGCTAGTCTCAGGCTGCTGCCACACACGCTAAGTAATCCACTTTCAATCCACTTTCAGTGCACTTTCAAAGTGGAGTTTTACTGTGTGAACTGGCAAAATCCACTTTGAAAGTGCACTGAAAGTGGATTGAAAGTGGATTACTTAGCGTGTGTGGCAGCAGCCTCAGTGAGGCTGATAAAAGGGAACACAGGCTGTGGCAAATAAAATGTAAGTCTGTGTTAAGGAGTAAGACTGATATTTGCTTTATGAACTTATATTTCCTGTTACACTCACACAATAGACTGTGCACACACACATAGGCTCAGAAAGCTGTACAAATCACCTGTTGTGATACTACACATAGAAGGTGTCTGCATAAGCCTTACATGTTAATGTAGGTGTCAGCTACACTACCAGCCTAGTGAAGGAAGCTGTGGCCCCACAGGCGACAAGTCATGTACTAATTGAAGTAGCTGGAAGCTGGGTCACCTGACTTCAGGAGGATTCTCCAAACTTCTAGCCATTCCTGTGTTGAAGCTATGGCAACCAGCAATTGGACACACCTATGTCCACTCGTGATTGGCCCATATAGAGGATGTGACTGAGTTTGTTAAACAAGGGGAGATATAGACATTGACCAATATAAGATGTTCTTCTCCTAGGTGTATATCAATGGCCATGGCCAAATTCTCCAAATGATGCAAAAAATTGGACTTGACACAAAGGGAGGTTGATACTAAAATACCAAGACCACCTTTTAACCTTCCTGTTCCCTTTCCCTTTTTAGCATCCAAACAAAAGTCTTTATATCCATTCATCTCAAGCTTTTTATCAGTCCAAGTTTCCTGGAGAAGTAGAATGTCATAATGATGGTAAAAAAACGTATGATCTTGGGCAGTATTCCAATTCCATCCAGCCAAGTTCCAGGAAGCAATTTCCAAATCTCTTGGGGGGGACACATACAATGATGTGTTAACCGTCATTTTGCTGGCTCATCCCACCAATTCAGAAGCCATGGGTGGTATGTCTTCTTGTATTACATTAAATACTGGATCCTCCATGGAAATCACAAGATTTGATTTCAGATTATCTTTCTTTATAATAATTGTAGGTTCAATGGG